TATATATATTCCCTCGACATAAAGTAAACCAATTCAAATTAAAGTCCACAACAGTCATAAATCCGCAAGACTACAATTGACTATAAGTACGTGTTTCATACCGAGGCACTCCTCTATGCATGCAACCTGCTGCTTATTCACCCCTCTAACACGTCACCCATCTTCCACAAATACGTGCCCCTCTTTCTTCCTTAACCTTTCCCTTTCACCCTTCTATAAATAAAAATAATTCTAAAGCTCCACCAATCCCATACTCTCCTCATCCACTTCAACCCCAGTTTGAAAATCTCAATCAATATTCGTTTGTTTAGTTAGTTTGTTTAACATTTAACCATGGCCGACTACTATGACCATCATCATGAGCAGCCTGCACCTAGGTCTTACCAGGTGGTGAAGGCTGCTACCGCCGTCACCACCGGCGGATCTCTCCTGGTTCTCTCCGGCTTGACTTTGGCCGGCACGATCATTGCACTGACTGTGGCCACTCCCTTGCTGCTGATTTTCAGTCCAGTCCTTGTCCCTGCGAGCATTACGATATTCCTCTTGATGTTTGGCTTCTTGGCTTCCGGAGGTTTTGGCGTGGCGGCAATTAGCGTTCTGTCTTGGATCTACAGGTACAATGTCAATAAATATTACTTACTCCATAAATCTTACCATAAGTGAAGAAACTCTAAAATGCCAGTAAATAGTACTCTATCCATTCCAATTCGATTTAAGAAAGAAAGAATTTTCAAAATTTGTAGTCTTAGATATGTTATTATTATAACATTTGTAACATTTTATGTGGATATAAATTTTTTGAAATTTGTGGTCTTTAATGTGGATAATATTCGTTGGACTACACAAATTTCTCAATACGAATAACATGAGAAGTTAAAGTTAAATTATTTTCAAATATAAAAATTGTATCATTATTTTTTAAACAGATTAATTTTCAAATATAGAAATGTGCGGTTCTTCCTTAAGAAAATGGTGTCACTTAAACTGAAATAAAACTGAAATGGAGGGAGAGTATATTAAATTTAGAAGTTATAATTTAGTACAACGACTTCATTACTAAAGAATCTATATTATATTAAAAATAGGTAGCCGCTAACTTAAAAGTTAAATTTTCAAAATATCCTTCTTATTTACCTTTTCTTAAATATTTGTTTTTTTAAAAAAGCCTACGAACAGAATCCAATATACGGCTCTTTTGAAGAGTTGCCACCGTTTCTGATAAGAAAGAGATTTCTGATCTTTCATTTAACACATATCACGTAATTTGCTTGCAGTTAGATTCTTCGAGCAATTAGCAAATACCCAAAAACCTATAATCATCCTATATAATAATATAGAAAGATGCTAATACCTACAAAGAGAAGCCAACATTCCCTACTCCTTTTTTGAAGAAGTTACTAACGTTTACAAACAGTCCAACGCTACTATTTTTTATACTGTGCGTGTTTGAGTTTCTATGTCCATGTCTCTATTAGTCTTACT